AAAATTAAGGTGGTTGTCACTAAGAAAAAAGCTAATTTGAAAGCAACTAAGGCAAAACCAGCAAAGGCAAAATCAGTGGTTGAAAATGAAGATAGGGGGGGGGGAGTTATGGTTTGTGGGTTTCATGAACGGAATGAGGTGAGAAATGGCTCAAAGGCAGGCGGTAGCATCAGCGGCATAATAAATGACAAAGCACACATAGACAGTTAAGATCAAAGGAACTGGCACTCACGGTTTTGAGGTTTCCAGCCTGAGGTGTACTGGGGCTTCACTGAAGGAGTCTTTATCACTGGCTCCGGCAATAAATCTTGGACAAATTTCCATTCCTCAGGGTTTCGAGAGATTTCAAAGCCAGTGTATTTGCTGGGATCCGAACTTACTAAAGGACTGGACTTAAATCGTGCATATCTGACCTGCAAGTAAAAGTTCATTAAATTTTTAAGTAGTGCCACGTTTAAGCCAGCAGCACATCAACTACATCCGGTCATTTGTTACTGTTATTCCTCTCAAAGAAAAAGGGGTAGATATCATCCTTATCAAGCCAGAAAAAAAATCACACACAACATAAAAATTACAGTGAAATTGGTTTGATAAAAGTTAGTTTACGAACGACGTTTAGCTAGGCAGGCTAGAAACTAAAGTCTTGATCTTTCCTTGAATGTACTAAAATTAGGAAATGTGCAATAATCAATTCTGACATACTTTATATCACATTAATTTGGAGTATAATATTTTATTCTTTTTAAAAGAAAATAGTTCATGCATGTGACTGGTGGAACGAGAGGTTAGGTTTTCGGTGGCAGTATGTCTGTGTACACTCATTTGCACGAAAAATTATGGATTTGAGATGAAGAAAAAGTTTAATGCTTTCGCAAGAGTAAAATTTCAATAAATTAACTAAACCCAATTGTAAAAACTGAAAGAAACAAGCGGCGTCTGCTAGGGGGTGGTGATATAGACAAGTTCGAAATTTAACAAGTTCTAAACATGTCTTGTAATCTACAAATACTCACTGGTACAGAATTTATTGCTGGAAGAGTCTTCGTGCTTAAATCAATCCCAAGTCTTCTTCTTAAGCCCTTAAATCCTGAGCCAGATACTAAACTTAGTGTTTTCATAGTTGCCATTTTGGTTAGCGCCTCTGTTCTCCCCACCGCCCCTCTCTACACCACTCGGAGGCGACGGGGACGCGTTGTGATTCGTTCGTGCTTTCTGCGATAAAAGATGGTACGAAAGCGCAACATGTAGGACGTTCACGAGGATTTCCTCATTTAAAGACGATTTTCGAGTGTCTGTAGGCCCTTTATACTTGAAATGTGTATTGAATTCGGACCATTAACGATTGATCTGTCCAAATTCAGTCGAAAGAAGGCCGACTGGGGCCGCCACAGTGGAGGAAAAAGGATTTTCGACGATGGTTGTGAGGTCGTCTCCTGGCAGTAGGTAGCGGTACATTCTCGCTGCAGGATAAGGGTAGAAAGGTGAGTGCACTTTAAAAATTTGATTTCCTTTAAGTTTTCGTGTGAAATTTGCCTATTTCAGTTTTGTCTATTTTATCATGTCATTGCTTTCAAAGCAAGTGAGGTCGTGTCAAATTAAATATTACGTCTGTGAGTTTTTAAGACATGTCAAGCACAGTATCGTGATCTAAATTTTGCTCTCACGACAGTAATTTCTTTCACGTCGTTTTCAAGTATTTTTTGACTGAAATGCCACAAATATATTACCTAATTTGGTGTCAGTGATTTCTATTTTATCTTGAACCGTCAATGGTAAATGTGTTTGTTAGTGGTTAGGTCAGTTTCACTCAATGTGTTAAAAAACTCTTTCTTTATATTTTTACTAACTGCACCAGTTGTATATTTTATTCTGCACGAAATAATCTGCGCGTTTATTTGTTTTTGAACTTCTTTTTTTATCATGCTCAATTATGTGTGTCACTGCAATGAATATAACCTGTGCTGTGGGTTACTTGGCATTGTAAACAAAAGATGTTTTGTCATTACAATTCTCACTGGTACTTCTTTTAAGAAATATCCATTTCTCAACACTAACCTAATCTTATTAACCTAATATCTAAGGATATACTCAAAGTTTCTCATAACATGTTGTGGCAATCAAAATTTCAATACTGTTTACTCATATTTAGTTTTTTAAGTTTGTCTTAAACCAGTTAAAATCTAGCTGCTTTGCAAATTTGGAACATTCAATTTTTATCCTTTACTTATAATGTCCACAACAACCCGTTGGTATAACCCTTATTGAACTTGAACTACCCGTTTCAGTATTCATTTTCTGAAGAAAAATGTTCTTAGTTTTCAGAAGTGTAACACTTAATTTTCTTAAATATGTGGGTTGTGAGAGATGTCTACCCTTGGCAGCTCCTCAAATATAATAACATGACAGCCATATTTTTCGTAACTATTTACCTGCAAATTTTAAAAATTTGTTATTTTTTAGACCCTCTTAGTCTTAGCATTTCCTGTTCATGTCCCACATTAGCCCATGTAAAAATACTCTTATCCATCTCATTTGTTAACTATTACTATTTTTGTCAACAGGGTCAGTGCAGATTAAAGGTGCAAGAAATGCAATTTTTGTATTTTTTAACCTACTGCACTATTCAAGAGTAGATCATAATGGGTAAAGCAAATGTTCCAAAGAGAGGAAGAACTACTGGAAAGACAAGACCTTTACGCAGTGACAACCAACCCCGAGGGATGCCCACAATAGTGTTAAATAAAAGTAAATCTAAAAAAATTAAGGTGGTTGTCACTAAGAAAAAAGCTAATTTGAAAGCAACTAAGGCAAAACCAGCAAAGGCAAAATCAGTGGTTGAAAATGAAGATAGTGACACTGCCTCTGTGGCTTCAGCAAGAGGTAGACGAAATGCTGCTGATCATGAAGCCAGTACTTCAAAATCTCCAAATGAAACTGAGAAGAAGGTATCTAAGAAACCTCAGAGAGCTGCAGAGAGATCTGAATCTCCTGCCACAACAAGACTTTCCAGGAGTTCCTCAGCAAACAGTGTTGTTGGAAAATCTACAGAAACTAAAAAGACTGGGAAAGGAAATGCGGATAAAGGAAAGGGTAAGAGCCCTGTCACAAACCCCAAACACGGAATTATGAGATTTTTCCCCAAAAGATCTTTGCCAAGCAAAGGATCTGCTGGAAACAAGGCGCAAGTTTTGAAGAAAGAGGTTGAACATGTTGAAGGTGACTCTCAAAATGAGCTTACAGTTTCTGTTAACTCTTCACCTGACAGTGTGAATTCAGGAAGCAGCAGATCAACCCGAATAGCGAGTGATCGTTTAGAAGTTAATGATGATGACTCAAGTGCACTGGATGATGATGAATCATGTGTTGGATCACATGTAGAAGACATCGATAGCCACAGTGTAGAAAAAGTTGAATCTTCTTCTAAATCAGTTAATGGAAATGAAGGTGGTAGTCAGAAATTTATTCCTAAACTAACTAAGAAAAATATAAATGAGCTTTTCCCATCTGATGACTCATCTGGCAGACTTCGTTCAGGAAGCCCAGCTTCTCAAAAATCAACAAGATCTTTGAGCTTGCAAAGGATCTCACCTAAAGCACCTCTGAGCTCCAGTCTTAGCTTTACCACACAGTCTGAGAGTGGAATACGAGCTCTACGAAACGGGAAGTTAAAGAGAGCTACCATGCCTGAGAGCTTATTTTCTGGTTCCAAGAAAAAGAAAAGGGTTTATGCTGGTATGATAAATAATGATGATAAAATTGAGGACAGCAGGAGTGACTTCTCTGATGAACAGTCAAGTATTTTTTCAGAAAGTGATTCATCCAGTTTTATAGATGCGTTCTCTAGGGGAAAGAACCATGGGCTTGATGACAAAATGGATTCAGAAGATATCCCAGGATCTATGAGCAATGATGAGGATGACATTCTCATGGGAAGAATATCCTCTCCTGCTCCTCAGTTATCTCCTATTGAAAAGAGCGCCTCAGAATCGAGAGGTAAGGGCTTGCCTTCTGAAACATCCTCTGTGCCAGAAGGTGCCTCTAAAAGTAGAGAAATTTTAAACAACATCCAATCAGACTGGGATTCTGATGGTGAAACCAACATAGAAGATACTGATGCTATAGCTCCTAAATCACCAAAGGAAGGGAACTCTGCATTTGATGAATTGCTATCAAACTCTTCTTCACTACCACCATTAATTGATAAGGATTCATCTTGTGATGGTAAGAATGTAGAAAAATCTGATACACAAAACAGCCTTCAAGATGTCAGTAAGCCTATTCAAAGTGAACCTGATGGTAGTGCAATTGACGAAAAACAGGATTCAGGGACCAAATTTGTTGAAGTAAATTCTGTTAGCAAGTCTGATGAAAAAGAAGATTCTGAGGACAACTCCGATGTGCAGCAAGACACTGTCACAAGCTTTAGTACTCCCTCTGATTCAATAATGGCTTCTATTGAAGAATCACCTCCTAATAGCCAGCTCTCTACTGATCCAGACAATCCATCTGCAGATTCATCTAATAAAATACCAGAACCAATAGTTCTAAAGACTCAAGATGGCAAAAATGGCTTTGCTACTTCAGTTGACTTTGTAGCCAAGAAAAACACACGTATTGACTTTGAGCTTCTTAGGAGACGCACAAAGAGATCAATGAGCTTTAATACTGAACTCCCAGAGAAAAATCAAAGCCAACGAATTTTGGCTGTGGAACCAAATAAATTACATGGAAAATCTTCTCTTGTATGGACAGTAAAAGCAGTTCGAGAACCAATAATTCCAAAGACCGTCACAAGCCCTGAAAAGGGACTTGCAAAGTCTGACAATCTGGAGAGTAAGAATACCTCTAATGTGAAACCTATGATGGAGTCAATACAAAATGATAATCAGTCGATCACTAAACCTACTCTAGAAGCAGTCCTCACATCTGCTCCACCCTCTGTGAACAGTAGTTCTGTCAAGGAGAATATACTGGTGCAAAAATCTCCAAAGCAAAGTCCAGGCAGATCACCAGTAAGGGAAACGCTTCCAGGGGTTATTCCTAAGTCACCAACACCTTCCATTGTGAAAGCCACTTCAGAAATAAGGCATGACAACTCCGTGAATGGTGTCAATGAGCCCAGGGAGAAAAATGTGGTCTCCAATGGAATGCTTACATCTGCTACTGACAGTACTCTTGCAGCCACAGTTAAACAACCCTCTGATGTGGAAGCAATTTCATCAAAAAATTCTAAGTCAGGGGATGCAGCAATTCCTGTTGAATCAGAAGGTGATATTTCTGTTGTTACAGCTGCAAAAACCTCAACAGAAGAAAATTTTACAAATTCTGATTCTAATTCACCTAATGTTGTGACGAAGAAAAATGATGAAGTAACTGTAGCTTCTGAGGCTGCAAATGAACGCTGTAACACCCCTGAACCTTGTGCAATCCAGATGGATACTGAGCTTACTCCTGATAGATCAGCGTTTGATGATGGTGAGTCATTTTGCCTTAGGCTCTCACCTACACCAACCAAGGAAGACTACAATCAGTCCAATCACTCTCTTCCTATAACACCTGTGAAAGAAATCCCGTCCATTCCAGGAAAAGAACCATCACCCACTGTTGAGACTAATAATTCCGCATCAAAAGATTTAGGAAACTGCAATGAAAGGCTAATTGACATCCTTCAGGATCTCGAGGCAAGGTTGCCGGAAGAAAAGAACAATATTGAAATACCTGTAATCAGTGCTGCTGATGTTTCATCAAGGTCAGAGAAACCCATTTTACAGCTTGTTATAAAGAAGAGCCTCTCTAGACCTCGCAGCCTTTCAGCTGACTGCAATCCATCTGCCCTTGCTTTCACAAATGATGACATATGGGTTGTGAAGAATAATAATGATTCATCTGTTCATGAGGAACACAGCATGGAAACTGATGAAGTTCTCAAAACTGATGAGAATGTTGAGGATGCCAAGGAAAATGTACCTGAGAAATGTCAAGGTACTGTGAAAGAGGTGGTTATGAACTCCACCACAGAAAACCAAGCTGAAAATTTGGAGGCTGTTATTAAAAGTACTGACTCATCAAACATGACAATAGAATGTTCAACTATACCAGTTAAACAGCCTGGCCTTCTTTCTCCACGGCTAGAAGCTGATGTAGAAAGACTCAATTTGAAGTTAAATGATATTGAAAAGAAACGCCGTGAAATAACTGAAGAGGAGCAAAGTCCTGAAAAGAAAGCCATTAAAGAGTGGGTTCTTAGTTCCTTAGGTTTGCAGTCTGTAGCTGCTGCTGCTGCTGCAGCTGCGTCAAATGCTGGTCGTCCTAGTAAAAGACGAAGCCAAGATGGGTTGATTCCATCATCTGGCCGTTTGAAAGCTGTGATAAAAGTTCCCAAAGATGGCAAAAAAGATAAAAAAGGAAACCGCAAACCACTGCGCATGGTTTTTAAAAATGGCAAAGTTCATTCAGGTGGCATTGAAGATGCACCTGGACTAGGGGGAAATTCCAATGCAGACCCATCTTTCAGGATAGAGGTAAGCTGTGCTCTGAACTTATCTTGTTAAGATGTACTGGATTGATCTTGAAGAAATTATTAAATATGTGATGTGTTCTCAGGGCAACACTGCTGGAGAGTTATCTGGAGCTTCCATGCTTCACGGGCAAGATTGTAAGTCTTATATTCTATCTCATTAACTCTTATGTTTGTATGTTGAGTTTGTGTCACAACTTTTTTT